ATATATATATATATATATATATATATATATAGAAACTTCAGCATCAACTTCCCCCTCTATTGTTATTTTAGTTCAGTTTAACATGATACATGATTGAGTTGCGGTGTTGTGCAGCCCATATCTAACCTGTTCGCCTTGGAAATGTTATGAAGGAGGCATCTGCAGCAGCACCAACAGCTGTGCATATTTGTGTTGTATATTTGCAGCAGCACCAACAGCTGTACATATTTGTGTAAGAACACTCGTCCTGCGTAGTGCTGTGAGGGCCGAAGTTTTCGTATCATCATGAGTCAACAGGCTGCCCTCAGTTTGCCTTGTTTGTGGTATTTCTGCAATGGGGCTCAGACGGTGGCTACCCTAGGAAACTCGTACAGCATTTCATGTATATAGAACAAAAGTATGTTTCAGCAGCAGCAACAGTTGCAGCAGCAGCTGCAGTTGTTACAGCCAGCTGTTCTTCTCATCATTCTTTCGATTGCATAACGCTTATATCTCCTTTTACTTAACCAACTCAAACACAGGACGGTCCGCCATAGAACCTGCATCTCCCCAGCAGTGTGTCTCATGTATGCACAGCGTCTGAGTATTGCCCCTACATGAACAACACGAGTACAGGAACAGGCAGTTGCAAGAAAAATAAAACAGCCGGTTGATCGCTTCTCACGAAGTGAGACGCGTTCATGCAGAAACAGCAGTTATATCGAGTGCACCAACTATGTTACTGGACCCCAGTGTCTAGACAGACACTCTAGTTACGTAGATTTTATCTAAATTAAGTTGAATATTTTGTCTCGTTTCTGATCTTTACATGCAGTTTCAAAACGATACAGAAGAGTTATGCAGAAACGTACAGAGAATACAATACGTGCAGTCTTCGCGCCCTCTGGTGAGCTATGTATCCCTATGATTTTATTTTGGTTACCATCTAAAACTACTCTGAATCTGCACTATGTTCTGCGTTTTCTAAGAAGGAAGCCGAAGAAATATTGCAACTTTCGCAGCACAAGCCTGGAGCGGCCCGAGTGTATAGGCAGCTTTCTTTGTGTTCAAGCAGTAGCCGCACATCTGCGTTTTTTTATAAGAGGGGAGTTTGGCCTTTGCGTGTTAAATTCAAATACAATATTCGAATATTTAGTGTACTCTCGAGGAGAAAAAGACGGGAAACTTCTTTTTTTTTTTTTTCTGTTTCTTCTCGGGTCTGGACAGCCTCAGCAGCCCCACGGCGTCACTTGGGTGTCTGTTGCTTTCTTTTCTTTATAGGGTTTTTACGATCTTCTCTCCGTTCTCTTCTTTTTTTGTTATATTTTCTTCATGCACCTTCAGAACCTTGGACCCCCCCCCTGCTCCTCGCCTTGTGCCGTGTCCCCCCATGAGTTCATATAGCTGTTGGTGTTGGCTAGCTACCTGATGCTGCTGCAGCTCTTTCTCTGGCTTCGATGACAAGGACAGAGGCGCTTGCAGACTGCTGCAGGCGGGGGCCTGTCTGTCTCAGCCTGCCGCTTCCTCAGACTTGCTCGTCTGTGTAGAGAGCTTCTCTCGGCGGTAGTTATCTAAGGTGGTGGGTGGAGGCCCCCCCATACACGGTGTGGTGGGGCCCCCCTTATGTTCAGTAATATACCCAGGTTCTATCCCTGGCGATCGATCTGTATATATACGATCGATAGAGATATTGTTTTTTGTGTGAAAAAAGTTGTGTTGTATTTGGTGTGGATTGTATGTATAAGATATTCAGTTTATTTCTTTTGTTTGTTCATCTCTTTCAGAGATGTCTGACATATACACTGTAGAGAAACTTGTAGATTTTCGTTATAATGGAAAAACACCAGAATGGAGAGTACGCTGGCAGGGCTACGGCCCCAAAGACGATACGTGGGAGTCCCGCAAGAATTTGCTTATGGATAGCCGTTTTGCTTTCCGACATAAAATGGATGAAATGGAGAAAAAATATCTACAAAAAAAAAAAAGAAAAACACAAAAAATACAAAAAAAACAAATGCAATACAAAAAACACAAACATACAACACAAGGTGAAACACAAACAAATCCAGATTGTTTAGATGATGATACCAGCAGCAGCAGCAGCAGCAGCAATACCAGCAGTTACAGCAGCAGCTACAGCAGCAGCTCGGAATTCAGCTGCCCAAAGGAGAGC